TTGCCTTGCACCTATCACAATGCAAGCCTTGCTTCTAAAGTCCACTCAAGTAATGAGCGCGTTTCGCCTCTGTTCCAGACGGGAGAATAGAGACAAAGTAGTTGGTTTGGGGAATTATTCAGCAATGATCACTTAGGCTGAGGCAAATAATTGTATTAAATATAGCCTCACTTGGTTGAATATTTGGCATTAGATATTGATTATCTACTTCTGGAGGCTTTAAGTTCACGCGACTCTTTCAAGGGATTAATGCAAACACCGTTGACTCATTTCAACTGTGTTCCAGCCGAGCGAACCCGATAGATTGTCAACTTAGGACAGCAGAAGCTCTCTGCATCCGCCATCGAACTAAAACTTGAAACAACCCTCAACGTTAGTTCTCTTCAAGTTTCGCAAGTTCAAGAACGGAGCACAACAGTTTCTTTCTGAGCTGATAGCACTTTATCGTGACCAAAAATAGCTAAATCGCTGGACTGTGAAATATATGTCATTTGCGGAACTCTCGTCATGCAACAAAAAGTGTTGATTAGCTCTACTTTGCGGGAAACTGTGTGTCCACCCTGAATTAAGACTTGGCGACAAGATGGTAAAACATCGAAACTGGGCTTTAAAGGAAGAAGATTCAAAGTTATTTTCGCCGTAAGGCAAAGACGGTCAAAGATCATTGATGAAGATTAAAAAAACCTTTGCAAAGTGTGACGGAAATCCTTTCATACTAACTCATGCAGCATTTTCGGCCAATGATTAAAAAAAAGTGGAGAAGATAAGCTAAGATTCTAGACATTATTTCGAAAATTTACTTTGCTAAAACTTGGAATTCAATACTTTAAAACTCAGACTAAAATTAACGTGATCTGAGAACACAAAACCCGTTGCCGTTGCCGGGGAGAGTACAGACAACGCTGCTCAAGTCAACGTGTCCCGCAATGCTTTAATCAGATCTTAGGCCCCGTCCACACTAATCCGTTTTCAAACGAAAACGGAGCTGTTTTGCTCCGTTTTCGAAAAGATTTGCGTCCACACTTATCGTTTTCGTATCGTTTTCGCCCGTCCACACTACAACGCCGTATCCGTTTTGAAAACGCTTTTATACCCTCAGTGCGCGTGCTCAAATGAGCTCGACGCATGCGCATTTCAATATATCGGCCCCGCGAAATTGGTGTCATTCTTGATTCTTTGTTGTTAAGTGTTGTTGCGGTTTAGAATTCTTTGATATTTTCCTTCTAAACGATGCCAAGAACAGCTAGAAAGCAACCAAAACCTAAAACAGACTGTTTCACATGGACTGATGATGAAGTCGAGCTACTTCTGAAAGTCACAAACGAATACAAAGTGCAACAAAGCACCGAGAGTGTAGACTGGGAGTCAGTCCAGTCGAAGTATGGCGACATCTTATGGTCGACACAATTCTCAGCATACATCTCTTTGCACAGATTTACGTCCTCGATGTAGACATTTACCAAGTAGTTGTGTGTTCCATAGATTTCGGGTGTAAAAAACATGACGTCTGGTTTTCCACCCTCCACTTCCAGTCGTTGTCGTCGCTGAATCATTGTTATGCGTATTCCACAACTCTGCTACAAGATATAATTCCTGGCGAAGGATAGGCAAAAAAAAAAAATCTGAGACATTCCGTGACGAGGTAATCGTCATGGTACAAACCACAATCACGGAGGTCTTTAAAAAAGTTTATCCACCATCCCCCTCCACCCTGTCGAAATTTAGACCACCAAGCTTCTATGCGTTGATTTCCGGTGCTTTTTCCTTCGATGAAACTTCCACTTCCCGAAAAATGGTAATCGTCATGCCAACGAAGAAATTGTTGAAGAGTGCCAATAATTGTGTTTTCGGTTCCCCTGTCACAGCGCATCCTTCTTGGAACCCATCTAAGTTGTAGAATAGCATTTAGGTAGTTTGAGGCAATAACCCTGGAATTTTTGTTCTTGGAACCGGCTTCTAACCAAAGAATTCGCCTTGAGAAGCCGTCTACTGCGCCATGAACAAAAAAAGCCAAAGAGCGCAAGCTTATCCCATCCGTCAACGTGCCATAAGAAGTTTGGCCCTGGGGTGACGTATCGTCGTCTCTTTAGCCTACGTCTTTGACGACGCTCCACTCCTTCAGGATCTAAAACACGAAGGGATTTCACAACAGTATCTCTTCTTACTTGCTAATTGTGCTTTCGCCTTAAGCGCCTCGTCAGTTGACGATAGCCCAGAAAGGAACCACACGAGTTCTCCGATTCTTCCAGAATAGCAGCCACTATTCGCTCAAGGGGCGATTCCTTGTTGTATCTCGCCCTTGTAAGTCCCAAACATTGTAAAATGTCCGCTTTTCTAGCAGTGAGCTTGGGCTGCCTGTGAGTATTCCAAGTGTAATCGATACTTCGTTCGATCGGCTGCTACCATGGAAATGCATCTTTTAAATTTTTGAAATTTATTTCGGATGATATGGTCGCAAATAAAAATTTGTAAAAAAATCAACATTTATTGTTTTTCTTCCAAATTTTCGGGACATATTGCTAACATGTTAATGATCAATTTGTGCTATTAAATACACCGATTTCAATAAAATAGCTGCTCGGACGAAGAATGGAGCAAGCACTGAAACGAGGCATTTTAGGACTCGGCAGGCCTTACAGGCAGGCGGTGTGCCCACTGGCATTGCGATGCATTGTGAATGTAGAATTTTCAAGTTGGTGGCGAAAACTTGGTAAGTTGGTGAGTTTCGGCAAGCATTTTCGACCTAAAACACAATGTATCTCTTTCGTTTTTTTGCCGAAATGTCTCTTTCAACTTCCCAACAGTTAAAAAACATGGTTTTTGGGTTCAAACGAAAAACGCTCTTTTGTTTCTAATAGCCCATTTGATCTACGCTATTTTACTGTAAAATTGACACCGTTTCTTAAAAGCTTATGATTTCTCACCTCTGTTAGTTTGAGTGATAAAAAAGGTGTAAAAGGCTTCTTTGATCTTTTTTCCTAACCCTGTCTATAAACGCTCCCCAACGCTCCCCAACGCTCCCCAGTGCATCTTCAGATATAACCGTTTGAACATGGTTAACTTTTAGGTAAATATGGCGATCAAAGACAACAAACGGCCTTACGCTGGCGTTCATGACCGTCCGTAGATAGCTTTAAAATATGCTATCAAATCTTCAAATGAAAACAAAACATACTGGACTTTTATATTCGAAAAAACACCTTTTTAAACGAAGTAAAAGCATCTTCACTAAAATTTCTCACCTCTCTCGATTTCCACGTTCACTTATGGACAAATACAAAGCCCTATGTATCCAAAAAGAAGCATCGATAGCCGCAGTTTAATAAGAAAATTCACGCAAATTGACTTTTCTGCTGAATTTTTCCAGAAAAGGCCAGAGACAGTTGATTCTCATTACGCATTCAATCAGCTAGCCCCCGAAGAGTTGTTTACCCGACGGCGTCTACATGCAAATGACTTAGATTTCAAATTTCACCCATGAATCAGCGCGATCCCAGTGCGCACACCGCCTGCGTTACAGGTAAGGCTTCGCAGTCATACATATACTGTTCCTCATTGTGCTAAAAAAGGAACTACTGCACCCAAGGGAGAAAAAGTTGGTTTCTTTAGCAACCCAAAAGAAGCGTCACTTGAAAAGGTCTGGCTTGCTAAAATCAGAAGAGATCTTGGCAAAAATTTTAACTGGAACAACAACACGAAGGTATGTTTACTCCATTTCGAACCGTGCGAAATCCAGAAAGGATTTGGTGCGAAAATGTCTTTAAAAAGACGTAATGGAATCTTTCCTACGAAGTTTAACTGGCGTACTTCTCCAAGAAAGCGACCAGCTCCTTCTCTGAGGACGGATCCAGTGGTAAATGAGCGTCTGAAAAGAAATCTTGACATCGACTCCACAACAACAAACAGCGCCATCGAGGAGAGCCTTTCCGCAAGTGCTGTTGAAAACGTTGAGTTTGAAAGTGCTACGACAACAGAATCCTACACGAAAGAAATTAATCAATTAAAACTGGACTTAGAACAACAACAGCTTTGTGTAAGGAAAAGGACGATGCCTTAAGAGAAATCAAGCGTTTAAAACAACAACACACCGAATTTAATGAACTTAACGAACTTTGCTTAGCTTTCTCTTCGTGAGTATTTGGTTTGAATCTGGATCAATGATATTCATATCTTTTCCTTGGGATATATACTCTTCCACACTAAAAATAAACGAAAACTCTGGACTAAACAACAGACTTTGTTTACAAATTATTGAAGTTCAAACAATTGGGGCTAAAAAATAAACTCTAATTTGCCAATTAACAAGTTTTGCTTTTGTAGTCAAACCGTTTGCACGATCACTCCGACACTTAAGCCAAAATCTTAATTCATCATTTTTCAACAGAGATGGCTTTCGACCTTCTAAAGAAGCACCAGGAATATCACATTCCTATAATTTTACAGAAGACGCCATGTTTTCAACCTAAATGCCTCGTTTTGGTGCTCGCCCCATACTTTGTCCGACCGGGAGCCATTTTATTAAAATCGGTGTATAATCTGCCATACCCTGTGCTAATGAGGATAAGAGACTTTTACCTCTAGTTTTGCGTTATTATTTTGCTTATTTTGTGTTTTAAATTTATTTTTTCAGAAAACACCTGGCTTTCAATGATGTAATTTATATTTCTCTGAAAAGCCAATTTTATACACTTAAAGATGAGATATTGTAGGTGTTATTGCTGTACATATTTGTTGAGATATTTTAAATAAAAGATGGATGTGTACAATTCTTTACGTTTTACCGTTGTCTTTGAGCGCGAGGGCCGTACTGGGGAATTTTTGCTCAAGGTCGCGGCAGTGCAGACCGAGTCTGTGTTACAGAGCAAAAACAGTCTTCCGTCGTTGTGCTGAGTTTAAATATAATGCAGGTGGCTCAAACATGTTTGAACTCTTACACTGTTTTACATCACCTATACAACTGTTCCCTCTTTTGACATATTTACAGGTGCAGACATAGTATCATGACAAGAGGTGGATACCAGAAAATAACCACTGGTGAAAATATGCAAAAAGATGGTTTTATATCTCTTCTTTTCTTTCAATGGATGGACGCCATCTTCAAGACAGGTAGTGGAGGAATTATAGAGAATAGCGACTTTCCACCACTCTCAAGACAAAATTCCACTGAAACTTACACGAAACGCCTCCAAACACGATGGGAGAAAGAGAAAGTTAAGAGCAAAGGAAACAGGAAGAGACCAAAACTTTGGAAGAGTGTCGTTGCAATGATATCTTTCAACGAAGCGTTGATCATGGCAATTACTGGAGCTATATACGGACTTTGGCGCCTCCTCAAGCCTTTACTTCTAGGTTACTTGCTTTCTTCTCTAATGGAACCTAATCCACGTAACAATTTCCTTTCGCATGGTTGTGTAATAGCTATGGGACTAGGTGCCTTGATTGGAACAATTTCCATGCGACACTCTTCCTATTTTTCAGACGTACTTGGTATCGGAGTGAGTAGTGCTCTGAAAGGTCTTATTTACCGGAAGGTAAACAGTTTTTTTTACTGATTTCATCTTTCCTATGACGTACAATATATAGGGGACAACAAGGGAACTCCAAAGCTATTTACCAACGAGGAATGAAAGACTATCTAAATTATTTGGGGGAAGGAAGCCCACAGCTTTCCTCGAGCTTCGCTCTCGGAAAACTATTCCCATCACGGAACAGATAATGTCCGCGGATAAATATTTGTGCATATTTTCGCGCCAAATATTAATTCCCGTATATAGAGTGATAGTAATTCAGTTCAATAATTTCTTCCTTTGTGGGTTTAACAGATTCTACAACTCAAAAGGGCTGAACTACTCAAATTTACATCAGGACGCGTGGTTGACCTCTTATCAAACGATGTCCAGCGACTGGAAGGACAAACTTTAACGATAATTTTCAATAGCATTTTGGATCTCACCTTGGTCATACCCGGAACTATAGTATTACTTTTGTATTTTATTGGTTGGCAAGCTCTCGTGGGAGTCATATGCCTTTTTTTACTGGTACCATATTTCGCAGCGTTATCCTCTCTCAGTGCTACACTACGCCGCCGCACAGCAGCACTTTCAGATAGGCGCTTCTCTTTGTTGAACCAAGTCATTTCTGGGATTCGCACTATCAAAACACATGCATGGGAGGATGAATTCAGAGAAAAGATCAAACGGATACGAAGGTATGTAAAGAGCATGTAACAATTGATCACGAACTAGTCGGGGGCGCTGTGGCCCAATTTTCAGCGCTAAAAGCAGAGTCGAGAGTCCTGGACTCGAATCTTGGTCGATTGATTGAGGTGTTTTTCGGGGGCAAGACGCACGGTGTTTTGCAACTTAAGGGAAATGAAATAATGGTTTTTTTCAAAATATCATATATTTCATTTCATTGTGATCTCCCTTAGGGGAAAAAGAAAATACTTAAATTTATAAAGGCCAATAGTTTCGAAAGAAACTGTTTGGGGCTGTGTCGGTGGGAGTAACGAAATAATTTGGATATATCAACAAAGTTGAAATGGTAAATTGGCCACCTTGACGATTACAAAAGCTGACGTTTCGAGCGTTAGCCCTTCGTCGTTAGCCCTTCGTCGGAGTTTCGAGCGTTAGCCCATCGTCGAATACTTAAATTTAATCCGCTCCCATAATAAGGCTTCTTAGCTATAGGCGCCCAACTAGTGCCCAGTCTCATAGCTCCTTTCCTGTAATTGTTTAATGGCAGCCTACGTGCGAAGACCGTTTCTTCTCCTGCTTTGCAATCCCATTAGCAAAAAAAGTCTTCGTAAATATTTGGCCCCGAAGTTAAGAGGTATACGAGTCGATTGAAAGTAAATACAAGTCTCTTTATCTGAACAAATCGATAATACTCGTTCACAAACAATTATTATAACATAGCTTGTAAATTCGTGCAATCAAATTCAATAGCGCGAGCGTGCTTCAATTTTCCTTTGTACACGCTGGTGACGCCAGCAAACAAATGCCTCGCGAAAAAAATTTTATCTCGCGAGTGACTTCAGCATTTTTAAAAAACCGGGAAAAACTTCCGCAAAAAAGTTAAACTAGACATGGTT